AGATAATCTAACCAGTATTATTATAAGATTCTTTAATGTGGCAGATTATAATAAAAACAAAAAAGCTCTAAACCCCACTTATACTCTAAATTCTAATAAATCATTTCAAATTAAAGCGGCAAAGTTTCAATTTAATCTATCGTGTTTAATAAAATATAGTAAATAAACTTCATAATTTTTAGCTTAAACCTTTTCATTCATTATAAACTAATATATTGATTTATATTAACAAAGAAAAACTCTAAACCTGTAATTATATGTATTCGTTTATCAATTCAAATAATTATAATTGAAACATTGTTACACAAAATAGGCATGCAACGTAGATCATGGGATCGGAAATCATGTGACAGTAAAATCGATCCTACGCCCTGGTGTTGCCTTACATATACCGAATTATCTTGTTGGAGCCGGATCACCCATGTGATCGCCGCTTGCTATTCATCACTGCTTAGCAGTCTTTTCTATCTGTTGACCTACTGTTAGCTGAAAGAAGATAGCAGTCATGTGAGTTTTAGCCAATCATCGCTGTAACATGAAAACAATCATTACAGTAAATACAGTAAATAAAATAAAACAATCATCTACTAGCTCTTTACAGTTAGTGTTAGGATGAGAAAGTTTGTATTCTAAAATCATTCTAACAGCTCTTTATGGTTAGTAGAGTTCCAATTCGGTTAATCCATCGTCCATATTTGAATCATTCGGATAACTCAGATCCAGATAATCCGAAAGGTATTCGGATAATTATAAGGATAATCCGAAAGGTATTGGATAATTATCCGATATAAATAGTAAACGGATAACCGAATAAATTCAGATCCAAATATCCGGTTATACACTTAACAGATTGGAACTCTAATGTTTAATGTTAGGATGAGAAAGTTCGTATTCGACATTATTAAAAAATCAAATTTCTTAAATTTCTAAATTTAACTTTTTTAATTTCGGCCAACACTATGATAATTCTGCCCACAATCCACATACAAAAGTCTTGGCCTAAAAATATCAATTTATATATGGGGGTGTCAGTAGAAACCAGGCAACTGTTTTTAGTGTTTTTTTAAACCTTTAAATTAAATATCTCAGCTATTAAACCAAACTTGGTAAATTTTTTTATTTTAATTCTGTAACTAAATAGAATTAAAATAAAAAATTTTTTATCAAGTTTGGTTTAATAGTTGTTGAGATATTTTAATTTAAAGTCTAAAAAAATTTACACAATTTGCCTGGTTTCTACTGTCACCCCATATAATCAACATAAATCGATATTTTTCATTGCCCCTGCGTAGGCCAAACACTAAACCGTGTGATGTGATTATTATGAAGATATCATTGGGTTCTTTAATATTCCTATTTAAGAGTTTTTGTGCCGTAGTAAAAGAGGATTTCTTTTCGTTTCGCTATCGCTCGCCTGTGGAGGTTGGCTGCTCTCTCCCAGCGTAGTGGAATAAAACTGGTAGTAAGGACAGTTGTTGTTTGGCTCCGCGGCTGCAGTGGAAATGCAAGGATTATCTTGGGATATACATTAACGTAAGCATATGCAACCGATTCTCTTTTTGGCTATGAGAGTTTGTCTCCCGACTGCCCTTATGTATGAGACCTGTTGAAATCATTAAGATCATTGTACCAACATTACCTCTGATTACTTCTGTTGGTGGTTTATTGTTTACGTTTGATAATAGTGGTTTAAGTCTGTTTGCTTGGTCTTCAAGATTATAGACCTTTAAGGCTTTGGTATAAATATTTATTAGCTTTAGGATAGAGCCTGTTTAGAGATAGCGGACACTATTCCCATATGTTTTCAGCTTTTTCTTTAAATTAAGTCATCTAATCGAGCAATAATAATAACCATAAAGTGTCGTTAGAATAATTATTTAACACTAATCATAAAGAGCTTTTAGAATGATTATTTGCTTTATTAGAATGTCTGATTTTTACGCTACACTTGATGATTGTTCAAACTCTCATATTTTTAACATCTAGTGTATTATGGCGTTCTCAAGCAACTACCTCAATGAATTCAATAAAAAATCTGATTGGTCTGTTTGATCAAACTAGTCAATAAGATTCGTTATTGAGTCCATTGATGTAGGTGCTTGAGAACGCCCGCCCTTAGCAAAGGAAGACGTAGATAATTCACCTTTATTCCGTGAAATATTAGAGAAATCAGCAATTTGTCTACCATTACAATAGATTATATATTGTAAAAAAAATGTTTAAATCTAGTAATGAATAAAATAAAAAAGGTCGTTTCAAGTATAATTAAAAGAGTGAACCATGCAAACTAAAATAATTACTTAAACTTTTTATCTTTATTAATATCATAATAAATACAAATTATATATTATTATTAGTGAATTACAATTTGGTATCAGTTTAACCACGACCAGCTACCTAATGTGGATCTCTGAAATTTTACGTTTACGGAATATCAAATTATTTGGCATCGTTTGTTAATGTGAATATAGCTATCATATAAGTAAAATCGTTGTTGTGTTATCTGCGTGAGATATAATTGCTTGGATAACCATATTAAATGATAATAATATTAAATTAAATGGTAAAAACTTGAATCTTGTTTTGTTATGTAAAAATTCAACAATATTAATTTTACCGAATGATCACTTTATTAGACAGACATCATGATTTTAATAAAAAATTCTATGCTGCATATTTATCCGATAATAATAATATTTATTTGATAATTTAAACAGTGCTGTGCTGTATTACGAACTTCAAAAATATAAATTTATGCGATATTCTTCGCAACAAATTTTTATACATATTTTTGATTCTATTTAAAATCATAAACTTTTGTTTAAGGCTTCAGAATTTCCATATTCACTTTTTTGTTTAATTCATCATATTCAAAGAGAAGTACATTCCCAAACTCATTTCTCTGTTTTTCTTCATTTGTCAAGTTGTTTTCTGCAGCTATAACGAATCGAATGGTAATATTAGTTAATAAGTATTGCAAACAATTAAAATCTTATATGCTTACATTTTAATACAGATAATAGAATCGTTTCATCAATGAATGGAAGATCATCATTTTTATCGGTAGAATAAAATGCTTCAATTCTAGGATCACTCATAAGGTTCTAAATAAAATCGTGTCAATCTTATAACATTTTATAATATTTATAATAATTTATTAAATAAACTTATACATACCTGATATGCTACTGGTAAAAGGTTTTTGCTTCTAATTGGCAGAACAAACATTAATTGTTCGAATGGTTTGTAATAATCTTCATCTTTAAAATTTTTTATTTCAATAGTTTCCAAGTCTTCCAAATCTAAATTTCAATTTACTTAGTTATAATTATGTATTAATCATTTGCATATTAAAAACTTACCCGATATAAGTGGTGAAAAATGTCCAGGATAAAACCACCTATAAGATTTTAATGCACCTTCATAATAAGAAATTACCCATTGCAATCCTTCAATGTATGATCTAATTAAAACTTTTTGATCTTGGTCTAGATAATACATTTTTTTCCATCTAAGTTTTTCGCTCTCAGTTTCTGTTTTATTGTGCTTATTTTGTTTAATTTTTTCAAGCATTTCTCTTTCAATAATGCTCAATTTCTTAAAAATCACTTCTAATCTTCTTTTATTCAAGCTTCCATCATCATTATAAATATAACCTCCTGCAAACAAAAATATTTATCAGATTAATACGTAGAATATTTATAAAAATTTTAAATAATTTCTTTCTCACCACATTCTTTTAACATCTCTTTATAAGTTGAAATAATATCAAATTTTTCATTATTAATATTTGGCAACATTGGTATAAAATCACTACCCATAAAAAGTGCTAATAAAATAAAATCCTTTATTATGCTTTCAAAATTAAATTCAAAAGGCAGTGGCTTAGGCTCCCAAAGTTTAGAAAATTCCTCCTTTATTTTTTCACGTAAAGTTCCTAATAATCTTACTTCGTACATTCTTGAATTTTTATTGATGCTGAAATGTTTTATATTAAGCAATATTATACCAAATTTTTATAAACGAAGCATAAGTTACAGTATTATAATTTAGACTTACCCATGTAAAGAGATTTTTATACTACTAAGTATTCTAAGATTCGATTTATAATGTAGAAGCCCCATTAAAATTAAATCCGAATCTCTTCCATAGATGCAATCAGATTTTGATTCAGAATTACGAATATATTCCATTATCTTTTGCTCTCCTTCACCTGGCACATCATGTCCAGAGTATACAATTTTTGCACTTTTCCAAATCTCATCATTTTGAATTTTGTTATGAATAAATTCTTTAAGATGGTTAGAAAAATCCACCATAAATTTTGTTCCTAATAATTTTATAATTTAAGAAATTAAATTTCCAAGGCTTTAAATAGATTCGTGAAAATTATTATAACCTAAAATTACGTAATTTAAGATGAGTCGTCAGTGATTATATAATTCTGTCTTTAAATCAAGCAAATATATATGTACTGTATATATACCTGGCGTTATATAGTTTGTGTCAAACCCATGGTTTGTTGCAATAAATCGCCTGCTACGTTGTCTATTCATCTTGGCTCTTGGAGCAACTCCTATTTTATGAATAAACAAGAATTTAATTTTTTTAATCCAAGTATATATATATATATATATATTATTAAAAAAAAAATACCATCAACTGCAATAAAAATTAATTTCTTTGGTTTAACCATCAAAACTAATTCATTTAAATAGTCAAATATTCCATTAAAAATGTCATCGACATTTATATATTCTTCAAAATTTTCATGAAGAATTTCATTCATCTCGATATAAAAATTATCTACATGAACTGTTTTATAAAAACTTTTTAATAAGGAAAAATTACAAGTATTAATATTTTTATATAAAATGTTTAAACTATCAAAATAATACAAAGTTAGTATACTTTTTTTTCTCGATAGGTGATACAAATTCATACCGCTCTCTAATAAAATATATGTGGTTTAGTCCAAATTTTAATGAGATAAATGAATAAAATTTTGAATAAGCATACTTTATCCATTTAGTAAAACCAAGAATTCCCATTATTAAATAAAATTTTTGTAAATGAACTTTTGTTCCTAATAGCAAGACGAACCTTTTCACAATCAGAAAAGGTTTTGTGATTATTTGTTTTATTGTGAGATCGCTTCCTTATACGTATTTATAGATCATTTCGGTGAAATCTGATTGGTTTATAAATCGATATACAGTAATCGTTATTAAAATGTTAATATCTGCCACGTCATAAATCAAAGATTTCGACATATTAGTAAATGACTGGTCTAATCATTTAAAATTTTCATGTTGAAATAGTTATTTTTCTTACTGCAAATATTTAAAACCAAAACTTTGACGCACATTATCTTTCTTGCAATGCATATTTTCAAATCCATCTCTTTTCTTTATACTTTTTATCTCTTTTCTTGTCGACATAATTACTTCCTAATTAAGACTGTTAGTTTTATCTGAAACTTGAGTCAGTCTGTCAATTTTTTTTCTACCGGCCTTATTGGATAAATTCCGAAAAATTAAAGTCTCTATCAGACGAAAATGCCGGAAAAAATGAATGCAAAAATAGAATAATTGGCATATCTGGAAAATGCGTCAGTTAAATATCAATTTTGCATGACCTAGTGCTTAGACCACACATAAAAAAAAAAAGACCATGATATTCAATGAGCATGATCAATTCATAAATCTATGTACAATTATCGTCACTGGTTTCTAGCGTAACTGCGTTGCGCAACTATCTTATTATTAAAATTATTTGTTGAGTTGAGTCACTTTGTACAAATCAATTAAAATAAAAAATCGTGATCGAGCACTTTTGCTCAACGATGTGCATTTGTGGAAGGTGACTGTATTTTATTTAGAAAACCTTCTCTTAACGCACATACTTATTATTCTTCTATTTATCAAATGTAATCATCAAAAATTAATAAAAGATATAAAGGAAAAAGAATAAGCAACGGATATAAGTCAAAGAAATTATTGATGGAATAGTTGAATTTATTGTCACATGAATAAAGGCTAAGAGATGGTAAAAACTTTGTAAACCTTTTTTAGGCTTTTTCATAAAAGCTTTAGTATAAGGTGTAAAATAGCAATCGTTGACGTCGAATCATGGTAAAGTTACTTGAGCGATCTCTTTGAATATTCAATTAATTACAATAAAAATTGAAATAAAAAAAACTCAAGATTTCTTACTAATAAAAGGGTTGAATTACGTAACAAAATATTTTCCGCTAAGTAAAATCTATTCTTCGGCACTTTTTGACCCATCGATTAAGGTGCTTTAGAACGTCCTAAGCCTAAGTCAGAGATCTTAGGCAATTTTTTTCTCACAACTCCAAAATTTATCTTTGGATGTAATATCATGCATCAGTACTACTACTTTATTAAGAAACTTGGCCGAAATAACTATAAAATTATTGATTTTGAGACTTGACAGAATTTATTCTTATTATGATGAGCCATAATTATTTTATGCTCTTATATATGTCACACATATTAAATCACAAATGAAATTTAGTTAATTTGTTTAGCTTGTGGGAAATATTCTATGGCATCATTTTGACTTTAGAGAGCCAAAAAATTTATTACAAGAAGTTATAATACGTAGAATATTAGTGCTGAGTTCGAAATATTGAAAATTTTCGAAATTCATCATATCAGGTATTGCGATCCGAAATTATTGAAAATATTAAGTTATAAAGTCAGCATTTCAGTGATAGTTGATTTCCAGTTTGATGCATCAACTATAGTACAAGTTTTAGAAAATTTGGCATATTACTGAAACGGTTAAAATTTGAATAAAGAGGTAAAGGAACTCGAGAAGAATCGTTAATACTAGATTCATTTAATTCTTTCTGTCCAAACATTACATATCTCAACATTTTGAATGCTGATTTTTCCATATAACCCCTAAAGCTTATTGGTAATTTACAAAAACTTTAGTTTTAACAAATGCTGTATTACTGACATACCATAAGAAAAGCTGAAAACGAGTTATGTAGCTTACAGAAAATTTGCCATTACAAAATGTTATAGATATATAATAATTTTTGGCTAAATCCATATATTAGATATTTAGCTTAAATATTGCAATGGCCTTTAAAAAACTGTTAATTTATTGTTTTTATAACATAAAAAATTGAACTTTGAATTATGTAACTGTTTACAGATATTTGTATTTAGATAAAAATATTAGAAAGGAAATTTGAACCCCCACACCCACACCGCTTTTACCACAAAATCCCGAAAGTCAGATTCCCGAAAGGACCTAATACTGACAAAATTAGCCGGCATTAGTAATGATGCTGGCCAATTTAATCGATATTATGTTCTTTCAGGAAAATGGCTTTCGGGATTTTGTGGTAGAACCGGATTTAGCCAATCACACAATCAGGACCTATAAAAAGTGTTCTTATATAAGGATGTGTTTAGAATGTGCTTATATAGGGAATTGTTTTTATATTGTAACGGTTGTGTTTGGGAGAGCGAGGCGATTATAGACAAATGGTGCCAATTTGAACTCCAACCGTATACGGAATTGGGGTTTATATAAGCGTAGGAAAATATAAATTTATCTTAAACTAATCAATTACAGCAAACTTTAAATGATAATAATTGAGAATGCAAACGTAAAAGTGATGAATTAAAATGATTCGGGAATAATATCAAGAAGTAATACTTCTTAGAACGGCG